GAGAATTTCTAGGGTTTATTATATGTAGGGTTTCCGTTCTAGAAGTAAAGTACTCGAACTATCCTTGTTGGTGCCCCCTTGGGCTGCCAAACCCTCAATCCTAGTCCATTATAGACTTAAGCGGATCGAGTTCAATTCGAGGGGATACATTTCTCTATGCCTGACACGGAGAATAAATTCTCACGAAGACGTCGCTTTCAAACCTTTGACAAACAAAAAAAATGAAATTTAATATCTAAAAATAAAATAAAAACATTAATAAAAAAAATATAATAAATATTATAAGTAATTAAAAATTTGAAAGAAAAGAATTATAAAGTAAATAAATATGAATTTTTAATTTCTAATTGATAGAGACAATTTATAATTAATTTCAAAGCTTGACCAGTCCCCAGCAGAGTCGCCAAGCTGTCGTAACCGGTTTTTGCCCGGGTACGAATTTTTACTTGGGGGAAATAATGTGGATAAAAAATGATTTTGATTTAAAAAATGTTTTGGAAGTCGCCATCGACCTTTTTGGGTTAGGTAGGTCGAATACCTAAAAATTATCTTTTAAAAGAGTTTTTAAGAAAACATCAGTTAACAGATAAATTGGTCTGCGTTTAACCAAAAATTCATTCTTTTTAGAAATGAAAAGGGATTCGTGGTCGGTTACGTTTAGGGAAGGATTAGCACCCACAATGCCCAAAATTGGTATTGTCGATTATAAATTGTCTCTAATAATAGAATTTAAGAATTCGAATATGAATTTAATTTACAATAGTGTTATTTCAAATTTAATCTGATATTTCTAAGGAAAAAAATTAAATAAATATATATATATATATATATATATAAGGTTTTGTAAATAGGACATTTATTTATTTACAAATATCAAAAAAGGACATCTTGTCTTTTCTTTAATATTAATAAATAAATAAATATTAATAAGAATATAATAATTTTCCTAAAAAATAATGAAGTATATATATATATATATATAGAAGTAGGATATTTATTTATTTTTAAAATATCAGAATAAGACATCTAGTTGCTTTAATACTATCCTTTCTTAATATTTGGAAAAAAAAATAAATAATAAAAATAATAATTTTCCTAAGAAAATAATTTAAATAAAACAATATTTATTTTCTAGTTTTTATAAGTAGGATATTTATTTATTTTTAAAATATCAGAATAGGACATCTAGTTGCTTTAAGACTGTCATTTTCTTTGATATTAAAAATATATAAACATTATTATTTAATTAAATATATATTTATATGACTAAGATGAAAATAATAATAAAATAATAATTAAAGTAATAATTTAAACATATAGAAAGTAATAATAAAAACAAAATAAAATTACAAATAAATAATGACCAAAATAAAAGAAATTAAAATTAATAATATTAAAATATAAAGTATTAAAATTAAAGATACTAATTTGAAATATTATGAAAGATAATGGTTAATAGTGTAATTTAACCTAATTAATTCATTCGTGATATATATATGAATTAATAAAATTATGATGGACTAAAATGGGTATTTACCCTAAATATTTAAACATATATAAATTAGGGACTAAAATATAATAAAAATAAAATGCGAGAACAAAATTAAAATAATTAAAAGTATGAAACAAGTGACCAAAATGGAAGTTTATGAATTCTGAGTGGCTGCGGAGATGATTTTCCCAAAAGGGAAATTACCATGGTTATCAAAACCGGACCGGACCGGCTGGTTCAACCGGTTGAACTGTGAACCGATGGCCTATCCGGTCCAGTTACCTCACAAAATCTGGCTGGCAATGAACCGGCTGAAAACCAGTAGAACCTGTTAGAATCGGCTGAAAATCGGTAAAACCGGGGTGAATCGGCTGAAAACCGGCAAAACCAGTTTGAACCGCCGATTCACTTTTTTTCTTTTTTAAAAAAATTAAACCAAACGACGTCGTTTGTTCAACGAGCCAAGTAAATTCGAGTATTACTGAGCTCGACTCGAATTCGAAAACTTTAAAAGTAAGCTCAACTCGACTAAAAAAACTCACGAGCTAAAAATTATCAAGTTCAACTCGAACTCCAAATATAATATTAAAACTTGAACTCGAAAAGGCTCGAACTCAAAAAAAAATTAGAAGTTCGATTGAAGCCTAAAATTTGAACTTAATTGAAGCGAAAGAATAGTTCGCTCTGTGCTCACCAAAAGGCTCTATGATTTTGAATGTTAAATTACCTCTATTATTTATAGAAGTAAGTTGGGATGTTCTTCTATGTTTCTTAGCCATGTGGGATTGTTTTGTTCTCATATTTTTACTCTTTAAACTTTTGGGATACTCTTCTATGTTTCTTAGCCCTGTGGGATTTTTTTAAAAAAAAAATTAAACCAAATGACATCATTTGTTATGATTTGTTTAAGCCCCAATTTTATTTTTTTGATTATACTTATATATTTATATTTATTATTTAATATGTTTTACCTTAAATATTATGTTGTAGTTGATTAGAATCATTTTGTTTCACTTGATTTTATGGTTTTTAATTTATATATGTTATAACTTGTGATATTTTTATACATTTTAATATTGTGAATTTAAAAAAAGTGTTACATATATATTAATATTGCTTTGAATATTATGTAAAATTAAAAAATATATTATTTTAAATAAAATCCGGTTCAACCACAGTTGAACCCGGTTGAACCACAGTTGAACCCGGTTGAACCAGTGAACTAGTACCTTCACCGGTTCAATGTTCGGTCCGGTTTTAAAAACATTGGAAATTACAGAGGCACCCCTCTCCCAAAACGGCGTCGTATGGGGAGGGTATTTAAACCCTTTTACCCGGCCCCTTAAGGGAAAAATCCCTCATTTTTCTTCTCAACTTCTCTCTCGAGAAGCTCTGCCTTCTCTCTAAAAGACTCTCGCTGAGTTCAGTCGACCACCGTTTACGACGCCGATCATCGTCGACGGTGGCCGGATTTACAAAAATTCCCCAAAATGAATATCCCGGTGTCCTAAGACCAAGTATGACCTTATTTTCCCCTAAAAACGCCAAGATCGTCTTAGATCTAAAAGAAACCGATGTATCTTACCTTCGGTTTTCGGTGGTTATGGCGACGTTCGATCTCCTCCTTTGTGGTAAGTTTCTTCCCTCTCTTCTTTTGTTTATTTTTCTCGGTTTTTTTTTTGTGTTTGGGTTGCTTGTTGTTTAGTGATTGTTTGCTCTGTTGGTTCCTCGTTTTTTTTTCCGTTGGTTGCCCTCTGTTGGTTGTTGTCTTCCTTTGCAGGTGGTCGATGATGGCTTTATAGCCTCGATGAGGCTCTCGTCGGACCGAGTAAGGATGGTGTCCTTCGGTGAGTCACCAAACTATGTGGTGACTCACCATAACGTCAACGTGGGTGGTCATCTGGCCTTATGGAGACTTCGGCGATAGTGGTGTCGTGGCAGTAAGGCGTCGGCAGAATCTGGTTGGGTCACCTGGCAGTGGAAACATCGACAGCGGCGGCTGGAAGCAGAGATGGCGCCTCGTGGTTTTCTGGAAGCATTAGGAAACCCTACAAGGGTTAGGGTTTCTCGGGTCTGGTGGGTCTGGACTAACTCGTTTGGGCCTTCGGGTTATTGGGCTGATTCCAGTTGGGCCACGGGGTTGTAAATGACATGGAAATGTAAAAATATATTTAATAATTATTATAATAATTATAATAATAATTATAATAAAATAAATATAAATGGGTAAAAAAACTAGTGTCTACAGAGTCTATTTCTCTTTTTTGTATGGATCAAACTAAAAGTACTCCAATTAAACTCATAATTTGAAGATGAAGTTGTTTGACTCAAAACTTTGACAACGATATGTTGAACTTGTGTTGAGTCTATTTCTCTTCTTTGTATGGATCAAACTAAAAGTACTCCAATTATGCACACACCATCACTTTTTTATTTTTGTCAATGAATATATTCCTTTAATTTATTTTATTTTATTTATAATATTATTTATTTATTTATTTAGTCTCTATATTATAGATTAGATAAAAATTTTATAGTTTCATAGTAAATAGATAAAATACATATACTATTATAGTATTATAAAGTGAATTCATCTCTTATACAAAATTTATATAATAAATAAACATATAATTATGATCTTAATGTTAATATAAAAATTTAATTTAAAATTAATCACGTCAGTTTTATATATTAGAAAATTCAATTTAAATTTAAGTTAATTTAATTTTAAAATAACGTTAATAAATAATTTAATTAATTCAAATTTAAATAACTAATTTTAAATATAACTATTACGATATTATTAATGATATATATTATAATCCACTTTTAAGAATTAAATTATAACATGTCATCTGTGTAGTTTTATATTTCAGATAATTTAAAGTTTGTTGCTACGTTGCGGCACAATTTATAGCGTGTTGTGGTGTTACGTAACTGTTTTTTACCGCAACAATCGTGATGCGGTTCCCTTATCGCATTGCGTCGATACTGCGTCGCGATAACCTTCAAAAGCGTTACGATGCGAGCATTATGCTACTTGCGGCCACAATTTAGTACTATGCATGAACCCCTTCAGCTCTAGGAGCTTTAAGTAACCCCATGCTGAAAATCGCAGTGATATTGTTAGTCCCCTACTTGATTGATGTTGAAGGTAACAACCCTTTCTTCCATTTTGCCAACTAACACAAGAATATCAACCTTCCTCCTCAACATTGATGGCTGGCGTTGGGGTGTTAAGATCTGAGCTGACAACGTCATAGCTTGCTTTCCTTTGTTAGTGATGGCCAGTGAGTTATCATTCTTTTTCTCTCTGCCCACATTTCTACCTGTATCTAGAGTCGCATGTCCCTTTTTTTTTTTTGGGTCAGACGCTTCAGTTTGATTTTCCTCCTATGACTCTTCAAAATCTAGCCGAAGGGAGAACTTGGATTTCTACCCTTATTTTCCTCTTTTCTATTGTCATGGCTATCCTGTTTCCTCGATTTCCTGGGTTTACTACTCACCATCATTCAAGGAACAAATGGGCTATTCCCAGTATTGCTCTTATTTGGTTATTGCGATTGTTGTGTAGATGTATTATCTTTCGGTTGTGTGCTTTCTTTAGATAGCCCGCAGTTATCACTTGTTTGCCATCCCTGCCGCAGCTGAAACAAATCTGTTGTAGGCCTTCGTACTCAATCTTTTGGATGAAGTTATCAATACCAATGTAAGAAATTAACGGTTTGCTTAGGTTGACGACAACCGCTATTCTTGTAAATAGACCTCTCTCACCGACATTGGTTTTATAATCTACTTTTAAGACTTTTCCAATTAAGCCGGCTATAGATCTGATCAGCATTTTGGTGTAGTACCTGTAGGGGAGGCCGAGGAGTCCGATCCAAACTATAACCTGCGATGGGTGCTTTTCCCATATGGAGAATTTTCTGCTCCGAGGCTGCACCGTAAGGTAGTTGCCATAGATCGTCCAAGGGCCATCCGCTAGGACTTTAACGTAGCAATCTTCTCTATCAAACCTCACTAGATAACAATTACTATCAATATCAACAAGACTAATGTTTCCAATAGGTTTCCATAGTAACAAGATTCTGCTGTAAATGGCTCTATAACCAATTCTTTTCCCAAGAAGCACCGTACACCTCATGTTCCTATCAATAATCTCGTGGATTCTGTTTGAGAACTTAATTCTTGGGAATGGGCCATTGCTATCAACATCTACATCACCATCTAGAATGGTAATATCCTCTTCAATGAAGGTGTTTTCTTGTAATCTTGGGATACTAGATGTTCTAACAACCATCGTCGCGTAAGAGCGCTTCGTTTCCACAGACGCTTGCTTTTGATCTCTTTTGGAATCTATTTCTTGATCATTCTCAGTTTCCTGCGTGTTGGTATCTTGATGTTCTTGTGTACTAAGCACTTGGACTGCACTGTCATCGGATGAACCCATCTCCACATCTTTCTCCTTTACCTTCTTAGTTTCCCTCTGCATCTCCAGCACCGGGGGGAACCAACTCTTTCACAGGACGGTTAACAGAGATTAATCATCCCTGGAGAGATTGTCTTCTTGGATTTGATCGCTCATTTTTCCTTAAAAATTCAATGTTTAAATCATCTATCATAATTTCTGCTTTGAAGTTACACTTTTGTGATTGTAAATTTTACACTTTTGTGATTGTAAATTAACATACTCATTTTTAATAAATTGTACATGATTTGTGTTGGAGCGATTTTAAGATCGTCCGACGAAATTTGAAAAGGCAAGGAGAGTCGTCACTAATTTTTTATTTAGGTGATGGTTCTCGATTATAGGACTTTTCTTTATTAAGTTCTCTAACTATTAAAAATTATAAAATAGTTTTTCAATTATAGAGAGTTCCTTTGTGAATCTCTGACTATTAAAAGTTACAAAATGATCATTCAATTGTTCATATATTCTAAACTTGTCTTTTCGCTAAAAAATTGACGGCAATTTAAACTGAACATTAATATACTGACTGAGATATGATAAAATTTGACCTCATAATTTCAAACTACTATCATACCTTAATCAACATGTTAAGGTCCAACTCAATTGATTGTTAATTTTTTAACGAAAAATGATAAATTTGGAACATATGAATAGTCGGGTGATCATTTTGTAACTTTTAATAGTCGATAGACTTAACAAAACAATGTTCTATAGTCGAATGACCATTTTATAATTTTTAATAGTCGTGAGACAACAAAGTATCACCCTATAATTAGTGGACCATTTGTGTACTTTATCTTTTTTATCAATTTATTGGGTTTTGACAATATAATAATAACAATAAATAAACCATGTATTTTGTAAATTTTGAAATCAACATAATGTTATCATTCTAATTATTTAATCTTTTTCATTCTTTTCATCCCAACCATTTTTTCTGGCAAAAGGTAGCAGAGGTCTTGTATTTTTAAAAAGCAACGTGGTTCTCACATTATTTTTTTCTTTCAATATTGTCCTTTAAATCAAAAACAAAGTTTGCGATTCTTTGACCAATGTTTTTTGTCGTTGACTATTACAGTACTGATATGACAGTTCACAGTATTAATGTGACAGTCCATACTGACTGATGACATGGCAGATAACATAATATATGGGATAAATTGATTTTTTTGGTTTTATTCGAAGTCAAATTGATTTTTTTCTAAAAAATCAAACACTTATTTAATTTAAAAAAATGAAAATTATTTTAAATTATAAATATAAAATTATTCAAAATTTCAAAATATAAATATAAAAATACTAAAAATAAAAAAAAATTATTAAAAATAATAAATATACATATTAAAAATAATAAAATTATTATAAAAAATTTAAAAAATGAATATATATAATAGGTTTAAAATAATTACTTATAAATTATTAAAAATATTTTTAAAATATATATTATACATATATATATAAGTATATAATAAATACTTATAAAAAGTATTCTTAATAGATTAATCGATAAATATATTTTTTATTAATTTGAGGTAAGTACAAAGTAATATTTATTCAAATATTACTCTCGACCTTTTGACATTGAACACTCACACGTTACTCCAACCTGAAACTTCAAGGAATAACAACAAACCAAGGCCGCTTGGTCTCGGCTAATTTAAAAGATAATTATATAATAAGTTTCAACATAAAAGATAGTTAGAAAATATAGTAAATTTTGACTAATCCAAAATTTGTATGTCTTAAGTAATTTAAATTTTGTAAGTCTCGTTTAATCTAATAAGAATATTTTGTATAAATGTTGATGATTTGCCTATATATATCTTAAAAATATTTTTTAATTTTTTTGATGATTTATAAGCTATCATTTTATAACCTACTATATATATTCAAAAAATGAATTTTTTATAATAGTTTTAGTATTTTTAATATTTATATTCAATTCTTTTAGTAATTTAAGTTTTATTTTTTATATTTAATTTTTTAATATTTAAATAATTTTATATTTAAAATTTGAAATAACTTTTATTTTTTTAAAAATTAAATAAACCCTTGAACTTTAAAAAAAAATTTAATCTTGAACAAAAATAAAAAAAATAATTTAACCAATCTATCATGTTATCTATCACGTCATTTACTATAGTGGACTGCTACGTTAGTATCATAGACCACTACATCAGCATCGTGAATTATTATGTCAATACGATCAATGATGAAAAAGTTGATTAAAGAGTCACATTGTTTATTTTCTAAGTTGGGAAATCACGTTAAGAGAAAATAATGACTGTCACATTGATTTTTTTTCAAAACAGAGCCTTTGATGCTTTTTACTTTTTTTTCTATGATTGACATGAATATTTACACAATGAAGTGCCACAACAAAATGATAACAGTAAACAATACAAAACATTAATCAAAAAGATTATATTGAGTTTATTTTCTGAATTAGATATTTACTTTAAAAGAAAAAAATATATATGAGAGCCACAATGACCTTTTAAAATACAGGAACCTCTGATTCCTTTTTATCTTTTTTTTTGTATGATTGATATATAAATATTTGCACCGTGACCTACCACGTCAATATCATAACAGTCAACGTCAATATCATAACAGTCAACGATGAAAAATATTGATCGAAATATCTTATTAAATTTATTTTCTGAGTTAAAGGGTCACATTAAAAGAAAAAATAATATGAGTGTCCATTACTTTTTTGGTTTTGGAAGTATAAGAACCTGTGAGGCCTTTTTTACCCCCTTTTTTTTCCTGTGATTGATACATGAATATTTGTTCAAAGAGTTTAAACACATTGGACCACCAAATTTAGAAGTTGAAAAAGAACACAAGAAAACCTTAAAAAGATTTGCCACTGATGAACAATTGGTAATCCAGTTGTCTGCTCTATAAATAAGGTTCCTTTTCTATAAATAAGGCTCTTTTAAGAAGAAAAAAAAAGATAATTAATGCAGAAATTGATAATCCAATTGTCTTCTCTATAAATAATGTTCTTTTAAGAAGAAGAAAAAAGATAATTAATGCAGAAATTTCCCAAAAAAGGAAAGGAAGAAAAAGAAAAGGGAGAAGTTGACATTAAGGGTGACATGGATAAGTAACTCTCTTTAACTTCATACGTTGACATTAAGGGTGACATGGATAAGTAACTCTCTTTAACTTCATACCTCTCTCTCATCATTGGTACATGGTTCAGGATTTCTTGCTTCTTTTTCCATAACAATGGCGCCTTGAGGAACCCCTACATATAGACCATTTCTTATCAATCACATAATTATATTCGAATCTCGAATCGGTTGCATTTACTTTGCCAAAAATCACAACTTAATGCAAAAAGATGTTTCCTATGTCATGCTAGGTAAACCGGTAAACGATCGTGATGCAACCGAAATGAAGACGAATGAACCAAATAGTAACCGTAGAAGGATCACCTGTTGGCATTGAGGTTCGTTCACCGGAGCCAGTTCCTTGACTAGTATTACCAGCAACAGCTACCCTCCCCCGAAATTCCCGTGAAAACGGCATGTTTCCTACAGCTTCAGGTTCACGACTGCCTGCATAGTTTTCACTAGCTAGCCTCGTAGCAGATTTAGGGGAGTAGGTTGTCGACCAAGATCCTCCGTTTGATCCAGCCAAGGCCATTATCACATCTGCCTGAAATGACCACGCAGTAAACAGTAGCATGAACACAAATGTATGAAACAATAGCATTCATATATGTCATGGAGGCCACTAGACTAAATTCCGAGAGAGCTTTAACATAGACGACTCCTGTATGCCGTTATAAATCCGAGTTAAGAAGACTCCCTTCGACTAAACTTTTCCATACCTAATTATAAGTATATTTTAAGCAATCCAATTGAAAAGTTTCAGCCAGGAGGAACGGAGCAGAAAAAAGGGTGAGGAAAGACCGGTTGAAGTATCATCAACGTCCTTCCGTCAAATGATATCTTCCAGGATTATGCATGGCCATCAAACGTCGGAAGCAGTTAACAGAAGAGCAGCTGAAAACCAACACTGCTTTGTGTTTCGAAAACTAAAATGATAAAAAAACGAACAGATTGGTTTCCCATAGCTCAAATATCAGAGAAACATAGCTCCAAGTGGAGCTCAACAAAATGATTAACGGTCATGATCCACCTGTTGCCGAATACAAAGTATAACCAACAGCAAAGTAACTCGAGCTGCAAATAAGATCAGACTTTGGAGACAACTGAACTTTTCAAGAAGAGAAAGTAATTGATTCCCGAATGAACAGAAAAGAATCCTCCTTTGTATCACTCAAAAAGGAGAGAAAGGGCTAATAGAAGTTGATACAAAACTGATAACCATGTATTCTTCTATGAAAATGAACCACTTAGCATCAGTATCTCAAAGACAGAAAATGAAGTGAAAAGGGAAACAAAAATTGAACATTATGAAATTTTAGTTGAACTCACATTCCCAAGTCTATATCAATATTCAAAGGTAACTAACAGATCCTCAAAAAACATAAACAGAAGCTTCCCTCCACTTTCGAGTATCATGTTTAACTCGAAAACTAAATGTCATGCTTCTAATTTTGGAAATTATGTTTTATTAGTTCTATATCAATGTGGAGGAGAAAAGCATTCTATCATTAGAACAAGACAACATTGTGTCACCCTAACCCGGCTAGTTTGAATCAACAATATATTCTTGAGAAATTAAGGAGAATATACTATAGATATCGAAAGAATCGCCGGCAACCTCATCAGATATTTCTGAAAACATGCTGGCATATCAAACTTTCTGGAAACATCTAAAATCCAATGTACATATTTAAGAAGGCAGGTCTACCCTCGGTTACATTATATATTGTATGAGCTCAATGGTCCTCTTGTGCAAGACCATTGACTTCTATTTACTCTTACTCTTCATTTTTCTCGAAGTATCAAAATCCCACACACATCAGAGTCAGTTTTGGACATAGGTAACAGGATATGACTCTCCAAATATATTGAAATGCATAGGAAATATACCCATGTTAGACGCATACCCCTATCCAACGGTCATACCTGAGTTCGAGAAACATAGATGGATTCAACCAGCAACGGAGAAATTTAAAAGTAGTTTCTTTTGCAATTCTATGGATTATATTATGAGTTAGCCTAGTAGAACTAGACCTGGATATTCAATTAGAAGAAATACCTGAATCAAACAGAGTTCCTTATAGGCATGCACCACAAGCTTTATGGGGCACAACTGAAATTTAAGAACTCGAGGTCAATTGGGAAAAAAAATAAACCAACCTTGTTTGGATGCACATCATCAAAGACATGAGCCTGGCCAGCATAAAATATCGTCATTTGTCGGCTGGTGGAGGTTAATCCTTGTCGACTGTCAGCAAAACAGAAAATCCAGCTTTCATTATCAGTATCTATGTTTTTTGTTTCCAGAGCACAACAACCAAAAACAGGAAACAACGATTATATGAAATTCACCTTGGAGGGACTGAAGATTCTGGCCTGCTGCCAATTGGCACTACCCCAGAAGAGTTTTTGTCGGCGGGAACACTACTAGCATTAATAGAGCTTAAAATGCTAGGGCCTTTAATTCCGGTTCTAGATCCTTCATCAGCAGCTGCCGAAGAGATAACAGGACCAACATTCGTATCTTTGAACCTGTCCGATGATACTTGATGCATAAAAGGCATAAAGTGGCCACTGCATGTGCCATACTGAACTGCAGAGCCTATAACAGGGATAGATCGCTCCCATTTGGAAGCAATCCCTTCAGGTCTGCTACCGGTGGGAGCCAGTGATATAAGAGATGCGGAAGAAGGCCTCATTGACTGCATACCGTGCAACACTTCATCCTTCTTTGCCTTTCTAGCTCGCTCCCCACCAGCGCCATTATGGAGCATCTGAATGCAAAAATATTTAATACATACAAATAACTTAACAACAAACAGAGCTTCTCCTTCACTTGGAGAGGTAAGATATACAAAAAATACCTTCATCGAATGCAAGCTTTCAAGAGATTCATGACCCATGAAAACCGAATCCGAATTACTTCTCTTACTTCCTACCATTTTGTTGCTTATCTCTGTCCCAGAAATGTCACTCTTTGGACCGTAGTACGGAATGCCCTCAAGATGGTTTCCCACCTGTCCAACTAATTAGTGAAAATATGGATCAAACTTTAGTTGTAATAGGTTAAAGTCCAATTCAAAAAAGACAGCAACATCAGTAATACAATTACAAGAAACAAATTTAAAGATCAAGTATGTCAACGTACTGAGGTAAAAAGCATATCATGATGAGCAAATGTGCTACAACAAACTAGCAACATCTACAATGGTAAAAAAAAAACTAAGGCTTTGCACATCAGCATTGAGTAGATAAAGTCACCAAACACCTAAAAGGCTTAACATATCATAAAAAAGTAGAAAAATCAGAGAACTTGAAGTTCCCCACTGAAACTGGTACCATAATCCCTTACTTTGCACAGTCATATAGCCTTGGGGAGGAGCTACCAACTCCATCGCTGACCTCACAAAAACTAATCCAACATAGAGAACAACAACCCCAACCTTGAGAGTAAAACTTGCTACTTTAACAGGTAAATCAAGCTTTTCAAGTTTCAAGAACAATGCCCAAAACCCAAAATCAAAACTACACATGAAATTATACGGCAATAATTAAATTTTCCCTGATGAGTTACTATACTCGAGAGTTTTTCACATGAAATGATGAAAACCACGCATCAAAAACATCAAAGGGGGAAAAAGAAAAGGGGAAAAACCCCAAGCAACCCCATTTACATTAAAGCTTCGAAAAGGGGGAGCTTTTAAGGGTAAGAAATAAAAACTAACCAGAACCCAGAACAGAGGTGGAAGAGAAGGATCCACGGGCAGCACCAACAGATGCTGAAGCAGAAGGGGAAGCTTCTGGGACCCTTGTATCATTTGCCTTGGGAGCTAGAACGACAGCTGAATCTGAAGCTTTCATACCCAGGAAATCATGAAACATTGTGGGGTTTACTTGTTGATTATGGCGTAGCAAATGAGTTGAAGTGTTGACATTGTCGATGTTGGTAATTTTGCTCGGTTGGGCCATTTTCAGCAAGGCCATTGCATCATCATCATAAACAATATCTCCACATCATCATCATTCTTCTGTTGTTTCTGCTCCACCATAGCCTAGCTTCTCACTTCTCTCTCAAGCTCTTTTAGTTTAAAAAAAAAACTGAGAAAAGAAATCACGATTTTTGATAAAGGAAAAAGAGGGAGGGAGGGAGGGAGAGAGGCATTAAAAAAGCGAAAGGTTTTATTTCTGTGGTTATTTCAGTTTTAATTGGGGGGTTTACTATTGTTTTCTCTATCACTGTGCGTTGATCAAGGCAAGGTCTGAACTTTGGGTTGTTTTCTTCTCCAGCACAAATATTCCTGTTTTCTGTTTTGTGGTTTATTCTGATGATGTTACACCCAAAGATAAATGCTTTTCCTAAGAGAGTGAAAGTGAGGGTAATTTTATTTGAATTAAATTAAATTTATGAATTAGAAATTAATTTTAAATATTTATAATATTATTTATTTAATTTAAATATTTTTATAATTATATTATATATATATATTCATATATCTATATTCAATATACATATATTATATAGAGTTGATATACTCAATTCAAATTAAAAAATTAAGCTACTAAATATTAAAAAATTTAAATCATTTTAACTTAATTTACAAATGGTCTTGAATTCAATTTCTTTTCTTGAATTATATATAATTTTATAAAATTATGAGTCGAAAATTTCAATCATATCTAACATTATATTTATAATCCTCGAGTATTGTGCATTCTTCAGACACAAATATGCTCCTTTTATTGAAACGTGGTAAAGGAAGGGAGGATTTAGGCTTATAACTCCCATAGCCATAGGTGCTTTATTTGTTTTTGGTAAACTTCATATTTGGTCACTTATTTATTCTAGCATTTATCTTTTGGTTACTCATTTATTCTTGCATTTATGTTTTGCCACTAAATTATTTTTTAAAATCATGCATAATATTAAATTTATTTCTATTTTTCCACTCATTATTAAAATTGATCGTTGATATGATATGATAATAGTTTTAATCTTAAAAATATATGCATTTTATCAATTTCAATCAATTTAGTTCTCATCTAATTCAAAATAATTTATCAATTTGTTAATAATTTAATAAGTGGCCTACTTTTAAAATTGATGAAGTTTATTTCAATTTCATCTATGTTGATCATCCCCTCGTTCTCCATAGCTCCTACCATCGTCTTCACGTCGTTGTTTATCCTTCCTTCACCATCTAATAATTTTCTCAAACTCACATCACAACTTTGCCCATCATCTCCATTCAATAATGTCTCCATCCATTCGCCATCATTGTTGATCTTCATAAAAATATACACCTTTTGGGCGTCGTATTTTCTTCTTTTCCATCAATTTTCTCCCTCCTCCTCTATAGCATTCACAATCGCCCGATGTCCTTTAGCTCTAACGTTCATTCATTCATTGAAATTCAAGTTTCCAAAATTTATCCAGTAACTCAAGAGGGATACAATTGAGTCTGGTGATTGTAGAGCTTGAATGACAATATAAAGGGTCGATGAGTGGTGTACAGCTGATGTGGAGATACAACAATGATGATTGAGCAAACAAAAACGACAACGATCGGGATTTGGAAGAAGGATTTTAGAACTTTATGTTGGACCAAATTGATAGGATTTGTATGCAGTAGGGTTTTCTTGAATTATTTAAAATTATGATCAATTTAATAAAATATATAAGTTTTACATATTAAAATTATTATTAAATCATACAATATCATCATTTCTATTAAATTAATGATTAAATGTAACTGCATATTAATATTAATATAATAATAATTTCATCTTATCATATTTTATATTATTTTCAAATAAAATTATTAAAAATATATTAGTAAAACCCAACTAGATTCATACTTTTCTTTCAACAAAAAAAACTAGATGCATACTTTAATTACTATTTAATTTATTTAAATAATAGATATGGGTTACATTGTGAATGATAGTGGGCAATTATCATTTTGCCATTTCCCACATCGGCCTCCGTGTAAACCACTTCTCTCATATTTTCGTCATCCACTCAAACTGCTTACCAAATTCAAATATATATATATATATATATATTGAACTCAAATGAATATAATATAATATTTATTTAAGTACTCTCATCATTTGATATTAAACACTCATACAATTCTACATATGAATGTTCAATCTAAAAATTAAAAGAATAACAACTTTATAATCACTAAAATCACTTTATTCGTATTATAATTTTTTTAAAATTATTTAAACACTTAAATTGTTGAATTTCGAAAGAAATATGATTACGAATAATTGTTATAATGATGTATCCAAAGGTCACTTGTATTTTGTTTGTAAATCTTATTTATATTTTAGGATTATTTTGTTTAATTTGTAACTAGAGCTTTGATTTGTAAACCTATTTTAAATGTTTATTTAACCTATGATTTGAATCTATGATGCCTTCAATTTATGCTATAAAATTATAAATTTTTAAATAAGATTTATTTTGATGGTATAGTGTGACTCAATTTCCTATTGAATTTATGATGTTACAGCTTATGATTGTTGCCAATACATGTCACAGGGGATAAGATATCCTAACATTTTAATTATATTATTGACCTCAAATCACATACATATATGGCAACGAGTGTTGACACAAGTGGTTAGGATTCATGAATTTGAGTTTGTAAGGCCAAATTCGAATCCTACCATCATCACTCTTAGTGGACAATCTGTAAATTCTTATGTAAATCTCAATTGGGTATTAGATATGTCCTAGCCCTGAACTGGGGAGCCACCCATGACCTAAACTTTTTCTAACAAAAATATTCACACACATATAATCAATGTGAGAAATATCAAAGTAGGAAATTTATTTACCATTATATTTCATAGTATATTTTATAGTGGGATAGTTTACAATTAAGGATTGTAAACGAATGGGATGGGAGCAAATACCCCTTCTCCTATGCTCATATCCGTATAATATTTTTGTATTCATCACCTACCCATCACTCACGGTGAATAAGTTTTTAAATTCACACACGTCCACGCAGGTACATTCTCATATCCACCCCACACTCACTATTTAACTGGATACTCATAACCCATTTTATACCCGCTTGTACATGTCCATATTGTCTGGCAACAATCTCACAGATTACATAAGCAACAAAACATAAAACAAGCACGTCCATTAAGAAGCATAAGAAAATAAGGATTTAATTATAAAAATAAATGCTCAAACTATACTTTTTTCCAAATAGGTGCCTAACTTTTTTTTAAAATCATCCAGATAACGTTGCCATTTTAGGTGTCCAGGACATAACGACCATTAAAATTTTTTGTTAAGTGACACGTTTCACGCTATGGTAATTTTGAATTTTAAAAAAATTAAAAATTATTATATTTATTAAAAAATATTTTTTCTAATATTACAAAAAGCCTAAAATCCCTAACCTCCCTTGCTGGCCACGATCATCGTCGTCGACGCCGCCGCCTTTGCCATCTCCCTGGTCGACCGTCATCTCCATTGTTGTCGTGCGCATCATTGGATCACCTAGGTGTCAAGAATTTAGGGGTTTGAGTTAGCTAGAGACACGATTTTGGGTCGCGGTTTTTTTATTTCCTTCATCAGAGATGAGACATTTATGGTCAGGTTTAACTTGTCATAGGGTGGATTATGGCCAGGTTTAACTTGTCATAGGGTGGAGGTTATGGTGGATGTATGATCGACATTAAACGACGACGGTCGGCGTGAGTTTAGGAATTGAAATTGAAGGTTTCAAAGTTTTGAGTTTTTTTTAATTTTTGGGTTTTTAAAATATATAATTTTATTTTTTATTTTAAATAAACCTTTTAAAATTATCAAAATGTGGCACATGTCACTTAATGGTGGAATTTAACGGTCGTTATGACCCAGGCACCTAAAGTGATAATGTTTGTAATGTTAGGCACCTGGATGAGTAAAAAAAAGTTTGGACAACTATTTGGGAAAAGTGGTATACTTTGGGCACTTATTTATAATTAAGTCTAAAATAAACTAAGGATTAATTGAGTTTATACCCTAACATTTGGTTAAATTACAAGTCATGTCCTATAAAATCTTAAGATCTATAAAATATTATATGAAATTATAACTAAATTCATAATGATCAGAAATTTATATAGTGGGTAATTAGTGGGCGAATTAATGCGGACTCAAACAATCACCTACCCACTACCCACGACGGGTATGACTTTTTACATCCACACCAGTCCACTACCCATTAAACTTATATATATCCTCAGCCAAATTGGAACGAGTGCAGTGCGAAATCCACGAAACTATATCCGTTTGATATCCCTATTTACAATATAACTACCATGGTGAAATATTATTGTGCAATCTAAAAAATAAATTTTCAAAATTCAATGATCAAATTTGATAACTCTTTAAAATGTTTATTGATCAAAATAGAAAGAAGACTAAAGTTGAATAACCAAACACATAATTTATCATTTGACATAATTTTTTTTCATACGCACATCAATTGATTTGATGTTTGTTTTTATCAACAACAAAATACTTATAGTTTGATATAAAATAAATTGACTATCATATTTTATCAACATATGAATTGGATCAATAATTAATATTCATTTTTATTAATTATCTAAGAATTAAATTCTTTTAAAAATCCATATTCATTTTCATATTTATATAGAGGATTTAATATTTTATACAAATATCACACACGCCACTTATATTGAGGAAAATTTAAGGTTGAGATCGAACTTCTTGTTTTTTTTTCCTAGTGAATATCTTCTCATTTTCTACTATTAATCTTAGCATTTAATTTTCCACATCCAATGGTCCTAAAAGGTGTAAAACTAAAAGATTCTTACATAATATAATTGGATCAATATATATATTGATAGTGTGTTTATAACTAACATAAAAAGAACACAACTATTATAATAATAAGAACACAACTATTATAATAATAAGAACACAACTATTACAATAATAAGAGGGAGGAAGATTTTTTTTTTAATTTTGTGGAGTGAATTCAAAGTAGTATCTATTAAATGTTTTTCTTTGTTATTGACAATGTGTGTTGTTAATGCTCAGAATTATAGCAATTTTAATGTGTAGAACTTATATTTTGATATGACAAAATGTTTGTTGTACTAAATTGAATTTATTGAAAGATTGCAAAAATAATTCAAAGTCCAACTAAATTTGAAAAATATGTGTTCAATGTTTCTAAACTTTAAAATGAGTCTTTTAAGTTCAAATTATATTAAAAT